CACACACACACACACACACACTGAAAGCAGAGACTAAAGTGACTCAAGTTCTCAAATGACTTCTTGCGCAAACATTAGGATTTATAAAAAAAAAAAACTTGATGGGAGAATGTGCAACCCATGCATACAAACAAACACTTTGATGCCAGTGTCAGAAAGTTTCGCTTCCTCTTCTCATCGCTTGACGCCTTGACTCATCATGGAAACCAATTGGTTAGCAGGATAATTTAATATTCATGAGGTGCTTTGCATCGGCCATTCTCTTGGAATATGAGGAAGATCCAAGTATGAACGTTTCCAGGTGGACTATGATTTATAAAGTGAACTTTGCGTTCAGGTGTGCCTGTGCATGGTTTTGTAAATCAGATTCTTTGTTTGCTCACGCCATTTTTTTGGCTATTGTGCACACATACACTTTTAGTATGAATCCTACGCAGTCTTTTATAAATGAGGCACCAGGACTGTTTTACTTATAAATGTTTTAAATCTGCAATTTACATAACACAGAAATGTGCTGTTTTATTTTAAAGCCCCTGAGTGAAGTAGTGCTTTAAGAGGTGCTTTAAGTGCTGAGAAAAAAAACAAATCAAGTTTAACAGTGTTTTTTAAAACATTCACACAGAATAACATTTTTTTAAATGTAAACGCAAGTGTAAAATAAGTATGTGGTCAGCTCATATCTGTCAATACAGCACAACTACAACAAAACAAGGCACTTCCTCTTACAGAATGCCTCTCCTTCCCCTCCCTTTAGAGTACATCCCCTTGAGGACCCTCCGGCCTGGAACCTCTGTTGGCCAACTGTTGTGGTTGGGCCTTCTAGCTCTTTTGCCCTGACTGAAACTCAGCTGTACAGGCCTCTTGGCATCAAACATGGAACCCAGCTCTACTGTGAGGAACCTTGGAGTTTACTTTGACATATCGTTTGACCCACATATATAACAAGTCTCTAGGACAGCTTTCTTCCACCTGTGCAATATTGTGAAAATTAGGAATATCCTGTCTCAGAAGGATGCTGAGAAACTAGTCGATGCATTTGGTACCTCTAGACTGGCATACTGTAATTCTTAATCATCAGGATTTCCCAGGTAATCTGTGTAAAGCCTTCGGCTGGTCCAAAATGCTGCAGCATGAGTGCTGACAGGAACTAGAAGGAGAGATCACATTACTCCTGTTTTAGTTTCGCTGCATTGGCTCCCTGTAAAATTCAGAACAGAATTCAAGATCCTGCTCCTCACATACAAGACCCTTAACAATTAAGCACCTTAATATATTAAAAACTCTATAACACTGTATTGTCCAAATAGACCACTTCACTCAGGTTAGCCCAAAACCATACCTTAGTTATGCTGCTATAGGCCACGACTGCTGGGAGAACTCCCATCATGCACGGATTGATATTCCACTTCTTTCTGTCTCTCTGCTCCCACATTTATTTATTTCAGTAACTTTGTAGTTTTTTTTCTTCATTCTATGATTTGGCACTATAGTAATACAATTGAATTGAATGTATTTAGTTGGATCATGAATCCTCACTCCAGTCACTTTAACACCTTGCTATCTGTGTCATGTTGTTTTTTTTAATTTTTTATTAATTATTTTCCCACAATCATGCACACACAGCACTACATGCAACATGGGGAAATTTGACCTCTGCATTTAACCCATCCGTGTGAAAACAGCACACACGGAACACAATACACACAGTGACCACACGGAGCATTGGGCAGCCAAGAAGGTGCCCGGGAATCAATTAGGGGTTTCGTGCCTTGCTCAAGGGCACCTCGGCAGTGCCCAGGAGGTGAACTGGCACCTCTCCAACTACCAGTCCACCTTTGATACTTCGGTCCATGCTGGACTTGAACTGGCCACCCTCCTATGGACTGAGCTACTGCTTTGTGTTGTGTTGTACTGAGCACTCATTTTTCCTTTTCATTTAAATGCAGCCTCATAAACTCTCTAGTGAATCAAACAAACAGTTAACTTAATGCACTGATCAAATCCTAATAACTTGTGATGAGTGTTGATGTTTATTAGTTAAAGTGAGTGCAGGTAAGCAGGGTGACACAGGACACTCCAGCACGGTGCAGACCAACTGCTGCTTCTGCCCTAAGCATGAAGCAGCGGGGCTGATCATTGCACAGTGGTGAAACGTATGTTCAACCGGCTGGTTCTCGTTAATATGCTCTGCTCATCTCATCTCTGCCTCACTGTGTGTCGCTCTGTGAGTGAGTGGGGGCGGGGCCGCAGGGCCTGTGTGTATAAACTCCACTTCGCTCCTAGTCTTTGCTTGCTCCTGCTATTTCATATCTATCTGATGTCAAATGAAATGAAATAAAATGAATTAAATTAAACAGAAAAGGCTCCAGTATTTAGATACCACCATATTATTGTTAAAGCCAGCAGGTCCACAGAGCACTCTTGACTTTTGGCATTTTGGATGGCCTGGGACCTTAGCCCAGCAGATGAAGACCAATGGTCTTGTTTGATTTGCTCCAGAGTTTATCAGACATGCATTTAAATACATTGAAAAAAAGTCCAACGTTTTGCATGCACACATTTCACCTGCTACACACAACACAAGGAGCCCACAGTCTTTAAAGTGACCGGAACAATCCAGATTCATGATCCATTGATTAATAACTACATAAATAGAATTGCCAGGTTGTGTGTGTTTATATAACCTGGGTAAGTGAGAATGGATTACAAGTTGTCTCAGGGTACACATTCAGGACTTATTTTAATACCAGGTCTGAACAAACTGTCCTCTGCTATCCTTTCATAGAGCCGCGTTTGCACGTGGATCACAGGTGACATTTAGGCTAAAATTTGTTGAATTTGAATTCTGGCACTTGCAACAACTTGGATGATACCACAGAAGCAGTATGGACTCATTTTTCTATTTATTATTTACGTTTGAATAACTGGTCACCATTTACTTAAAGCTGATTACCCCTGAAACTCCAAAAGTGTTTTGTGGACTCAAATACTTCACCTACCCCTACTATCCCTTTAAGCATCCGAGATACCAAGGATAAGCAATCGATCCTGGCTAGAATAGAACCAACATCAAGCTCCGCTCCATTGGTCATGTGTGTGTTCAAGTTTAACTGTTGATCATGTTAACTGGTGATATTTATTTACATTCCACTTGTCATTTTCACAAAGCACCTGTGTTAGTGTGCAGTGATATACTTTGGTGGAATAAACCTCAACAAAAAGACATCACGAGTTAATATATGTCTGTCCAATCAAACAACAATATAAATCAAATGGGTAAAAAAAATATAGCATAAAAAACTTGAACGGGATTCGAAACGAAATGGAGAAGCAGTATTATTATTTAGACTGATGATGATCTCTTAACGTCATGGAGCCGCTGAGATGCTCGATGCACTTTACCTGAATTAAGCTTTTTTTTTTAACTCTATCAGCTGCATAATACCTGAAGTTGTTTAAAGAAAGGCCCATGTTATCTGGTGAGAACACTGATAAATGCTGCATAATTAATAACAGGCTTCACAAACTGATGATCATCGTTCATAGGCGACCCTGGAATTTATGAAGAATACACACACAGCCCCCAGTATCCCGAGCATGCGTCCATCACACTAAAAGTATTGAGCACCTGCTACAGTATGATATCCTCCAGAGTTGGTAGAGGGTAGTGTGGGCACTTGATTGCTGTATTTAAGTCTCAGGGGGTTGAGTCCTTCCCTAAGCTTGCTTGTGTGTCGCTTCTCAACCACTGATATAAAACCATTGCTGCTGCTGGGTCAAGGCAGATGCTGCATTCCTCTGGGAACAATAATATGCCGTTAAAAAAATCTGCAAAATCCCTGAAAATAGTCTGTTTGTCAACAGGTGAACAATATTAGCTGAATAAGGTTGAAATCTGGGCATGCCTCCAAGCTTAGCACTGACTGTGCTTGTGTGTCTACTATGGAGAAATAAGCTCTGCACCCTCTTTTTCCATTTATATGTTTGCAAAGGCCTGCTCAGTTTGTGAGGACTGGGAATTTTGTGTCAATGTGTCAAACAGTTCCTCTGCATCTCTGTCTAAACCTTGGTTGACATAAATCTAAAAGTAGGAGAGACTCTAGATTGACATAGCAGGACTACTTGTTTTATGTTATGCGCTGTGTGGAGAAAGCTTCAGGGAGCTTTGTGTGTAAGAGAAGTCAAAACTGATCTTTAATAAAATATAAAATAATGAAAATAACAATAATTATAATCAGGATATGTGCAGATCCAATTAAATTGTATTATATGATATGATAACTGGTTACGTATGTGTGTACGTATAATTATGTATGTATGTATGTATGAATTAACACTGCTCAAAATTCTGAATCAATTCCCCCTACTTAAGTGCAAATGAAGGAGACAACAGGTGTAAGGGTGAAGCAACAGCAAGAACACCCAAATAGGCAATGGTTTATCATGTGGTGGCCACGGACAACTGCTCTCTCCTTATCCATCCGGACTGATTCTTCTCTAGTTTTCTGTTCTGCTAGTGTCCTTGTTACTAGTCATAGCATGACAATGGTGTGTACCTGTATCCTAATCATGTTGCACAGATAGTCCAGCTCCTCCAGGATGGCACATCTCACCATATCGGACTGACACAGACATTCTAGGGAGTCGCAGGTGTTGCTCTCCATCATGGCAACAGCTGTGAGGACCCTACTGCTCTGGTTATTAGCGACCAGGCACTAATGATGCGTGAGCCCTATTGGAATTGCTCCAATTATTAGGGCCCAAGCACTAACAGTGCGAGGACCATATTGGAATTGCTCTGATTCTTCTTCTACAAAATGTTACATTATGACAAGAGTTTGTTTTTTGAAACATAAAACACCAAACTTAACAAACTACTCTTACCAGCATACCTAATGCATTATGGACCATCCCTGCACCATCATTATCCAGAGGATGCTAGTTCTGCATCCCTTGCTGGTAGCAGAAAGTGTTATAGTTATTTCCTAAAAAAGGGAACACTTAACCATCAAAGTATTACACTGAGTCAGTTAAACATCTGTGACAGCAAACTGTCAATTTAAGAAGTGTAAGCAATTGTGAATCAATTTCACCTGCTTTGGTGCAAACTGAAAGTGACAACAGGTGGATTGCAGAACAGCAAAGCAACTCCCCAAAAAGGGAATTGTTTTTTCTCTCTCCTTCCTGAGTGATTATTACTCTAGTTTTGCATTTTGCTAGTGCCACTCCTTTAAGCTACTGCAAATTGCACCACTATAAATGCTATCGCAAGAAGGTTTGCTGTGGGTCCCAGTACAGCCTCAAGAGCATGGAGGAGATACCAGGAGATAGGCCATTACACAAGGAGAGCTGGACAGGGCTACAGCCCAGTCCTGCTGCTGGGTTGATGTCCTTCTCTAGAAAGACCGGTGTATTCATACAGTATCTACAAACTGTTGACCTGTGTTAAAATGCTCCTCACCTCCTTACGTTTGCGGGCAGCTTTACACAAGAGACTCTGAGCAGCGGTGGCTGGGAGGGCATGGTCATCATATAGGTCTGTGACAGAGACAAACACATACATGTTCACCAAAAGAATGGGATCAAACAACATGTTCCAAAGGAAGGCAGACATTCTTCCTTCTCCACAGACTACAATTGTAATAAAGCAGCTGAAAGGTCAAATATTAGAGCATTGATCAGAATAGATTCCTTTACTTTGAGTCTAATATGATCAGTAAAAGAAAAATATGGTATTTCAGTGGTTTGCTAAATAGTCTTACATGCTGGCAATGAAGATTGCAGAGATTTCTGGTTTGATTTGCTGGTATATTATCACACAAGGTGTACTCACTGAACTTCATGCGGATGTACTCATAGGGGTCTTCCTGCCAGAGCTTCTCATCCTCATCTTTGTAACACATCAGAGGGAAGATGACCTCTTGCGTTATGGTCTGTAAGACATGAAGGTCATCATTACCACAGGAGGGCCATTACAGTGGCTTTAAAATAATAGTCAACAATTAGATGACTGTAAAAGTCCAGATGGGGAAAATTTCAAATCCCTTTTAAGCTCAACTGTCACGAAATGTGGACAAATTGATGGCTTTTATGTATATAAAAGAACAATTCATTCATTATTATTTATTAGGTTGCGATATCTGCTGAGTGGTTACCACTTTTGCTTGGGTTTGATTCATATGAAGTGGTTTATAGAATATAAATGGGTTTTGTATTTTGTTTTCTGTGTAAGAAAAACAGTTTTGTTGACAGTTGATCTTATTTCATTTCATTGAACATGTAACCATGTGACTATTAGCCTTGGGTCAGGAGCATTATACCAAACTAGTGCTATGATTGTTCTAAACATGCTTATTTGCTTGGCCTGTGGTAATGCTGTAGAGGCTACTTCAGAGTTATTCCTTGTCATTGGTGAGCCCTCCTCAAATGGGCATACAATATACTATCACTTTTTTGTTGTTTGGGTGCTGGACTTTGAGTGCAGAGCTTTTAAAAAACAATCTATAATGTGGAGTGAATTTTAAACATTTGCAATCATCCTATTTGATTTAACTACAATTTTATGAGACTTAATCAATAAATTGGGTATCTTTTCCCTTCCTTGGAAGGGTGGTGCCCAGAGGTAGCTTTAATCAATTAAAGATATTATTCAATATTACTATTAATATTCAATATTTTGCTGATAACAAAACTTAAAAACATATTTTAATAGATACGTTCTGAAGTAGTTAATTAATAAAGGAGATATTTCTACTTGTGCTTACTTTGTTCTTCTAGAACTTGTGCATCTTAGTAGACCTCCATTTTTCATCAAGGTGTAATCCATCACTTGAGAACAGTGTCTGTTATTTGCAGTAGTTGTGTGCTATAATGATTTACAGAGTGTGAAGGAGAGGCAATAGGGAACCTGTGTGGGTTAATAAGTGTCTACCTACTAGTGAAGTAGTTATGAGCAAAACCTCACTTTAGAATGGGGAACATGTTCTAAGTAAGAAATACTTAATTTAGAGTTATTTGTATACCTAGTGTAAAATTGAAGTGACATTTTTACATTTATGGAAACCAGAATATTTCTACAAGAATTTCAGGGCAAATTCATTTTCTTTTGATGCAATGACTGGGAGATGCCTTTGAAGCAGGGATTTACTTCTAGTAGGGATAGGGGGATACTTCTTAATAAGAAAGTACCATTTAAGGTGGTCTCTCAACATTTCTATGGTAGGTCACTGTGACCTTTACATTTGACCACTGAAATGAAATCACTTCATCTTTGACTGCAAGTGACAACTGATTAAAAGTTTAAGAAAATCCCTCAAGTCTGTGTAGAGTAAACATTCAGTTTAAGTGAAGCCACCGTAAACTTGACCTTAAATCTTTGACCACAGAAATATAATCAGTTAATCTGTGAGTCCACGTGGATATGTGTGCCAAATTTGAAAGAATTCTGTCACACCACAGTAAAATCAAGTTAAGTTTTTGTCYTGTCTCCATGTTTGTATTGTTACTTCCTGTTTTATTTTGAAAAGTAACTTTATATATCTCGTTCACAACAATGTAACATGACCTTGACTTTTAACCACCAAAATCAAATCGGCTCATGCTGGAGTCAAAGTTATTGTTTGTACCAAATTTGACGAAATTCCCTCAAGGCATTCATGACATATTGCCTTCACAAGAATGAGATAGACAGACAGTTAAAAACAATTAGACAGACAGTAATAATAAGTGTAATTACAATTGGGAAGAAGCAATAAAAACTTGGTGGTTGGCCCTGTTTTTTCCTTCCCAGAAATTATAATGAGGGAGAGTGTGTGGGTATACAACATTCATACAGGGTGACATAACACCCACAGGAGTGATTCATTTGGTGTAATGCTCCTAAACCAAGGGTGATAGACACGTGGTTACAGTTTAACTTTCATTCATTAAATCATGTTCACATACATAAAATATCATATGTTGCTGAAGATGCAAATCCCCTCAGTGGGTTTTAGAATATTTCATGGCACCTGAGGAAATGATGTCTCCAAACTAAACCATGAACTAAAAGTCCACTTTTCACTTGCATGCATTCCCATGACAGAAGGAAACAATATACATATATTAGGAAAAATAGACTGTGGATGCAGATGGGTATTAGAGTCCTTTAGAATTTTACTATCTCTCTTAACAGTAAATTTAATGGTAAATGCTTGTCATAGGACGTTTTATGAAAATGCACACTCTCAAAGAACTTCAAAATGATCTGTATCAAATTCATCCTTTATTTACCTACCTGCATGTGTGGCTTCATCTGTTTCCAGGTCAGGGAGTGTGACAGGCCCTGGTTGAGGTAGTTGAGACATTGCTGCAGGACACGAGGAGTAATGTACTGCCTCTGTCGGTGCTGGTCCACCACTTTCAACAGAACCTGGATGACACAGCATAAAAGGACAGAGAAACTAGAACAGTTAGAGCTTGCACAACAAATAATAAGAAAACTTAAACCAACACATGCCTACCTGTTGTATGCCAACTGCATATGTCTTTAGAAAAAAGTCAGCAAACTCGCTGTACTCCTTTGTCACATTGCCAGGACTTCCATATCTGTATTTTAGACCAAAAGCATGTGAACAGCTGGTAAAATCTCTCTGTAAACTACAATTATGGTTTTTGGTAATGTCAGCTCTGTACTCACCGCTCAAATAGTCTGGTGATGATGCGCAACGACCACTTCTTACACTTCCACCATGCCAGTTCAGGACGGTCATCCTCATCAACCTCCAAAGTCTCCTAACAAACACACATTATGGTCAGTTCATGGGGCTTGTATAGCCAGTAAAAGAACAAAAAAATCATATACAACAACTGCTTATTATTATTATTTGACGTTGGTTGAGATTTAAAATGTTTTCCGATGTTTCAGACTATTTTAAATGATTTTTAACTGGGGTATATCTTGTGTGTATGTTTGCAACTATTACTTTTTACCAAATTAGTAATTTTGGGTCCCAGTTTTATCTTAATGGACAGTTACATCATATCTTTTTTTTTTTTTATCTTAATGGACTTTTATTTTTTCCTGGGAAAAAATTGACAGGGATAAAATTATTAAGGAACACCTTGACACCTTGACCCATTACATCAAATATTCAACATTTCTTCCAACATCTATTTTTTATTGCCAAACCCAGTGTCCAGCAAAGGTTAATATCAGACTCACATCTGTGGTCTGCATTTTTTTAAGACAGATCAGTTATTTTCAGTGCTGCAATCATGGCTGATGTTACATTCCACAGGATTATTCTAGTCATAGCACATTCATCACCTTAAAATGTTTAGGTATCTGAATTCCAAACTGAGAACCTTTAATTCCACCCTTAAACTTAAGTTAAGGTTTAAGTCATTCAAAATGTATATATCCGAGCAAAAAGCTATGGTTTGAATATCAAACTGTATGGCTTTATGAAGCCAAGCTGAGGCCCCTTGAGCTGACAATGATTAAGAAGAGCTTCCTGTGAGACACCTTGTGAAAAGAACAAATTTGCTCCATAACTCAAAAGCTTTCATATGCAGATTATTAAAGCTTGAAGTTTTGCAACAAGGGCAAGGTTTAAATGTAATTTTCATAATTCCATTGTTATTATTTATTTATTAAATAAATGATATTTGTTTTCTCTATTTTATTTGTGGTCAGTATGTGACTTTGTAACTGTTAAGGTAGATTTAAAGATTCCCTCTGATAATAGAAATGGATGTCTTGATGATTTGTTGTTTTTTCTTTCTCGCTTGTTTCTTTTCTTTGAGCACTAGAATGTGTTATATTGTATAATTGTAGGACTTTTTTTTTTATTAATCCCCTGGCTGCAAATAAAAAGCTAAATAAAAAAAAAAAAAAACAACACTAACAAGTCTAGGAAAATTAGTTCTGTGTTTGTGTGTGTGAGTCTTACAGCAGGAACATCTCGGTCCATTATGGCTCTGAGGATTTCCATCCACTGAGTCATCACTGTGTTGTTTATCAGCTGGAGAGGCAGCGAGTACTGCAGGGCAACAATGTTTTACTATCATCATAATCATTTCTGTGAACTACACAAGATCTCTTTACACACATGGAATACTTGTCTAGAAGCTGGCTTCATCTAGATTTTGCGAAGGTGATGTTTTTCGTCCAGTAAAAAGCTGCAGAGATGAGTAAAAGTAAAAGTACTGTTGAAAAAAAAGGGTACTAAACATCTTAGACTTTGATCCAGTGGAGATGTCCCAGATATCACAGTTCCCATCACTGGCAGCTAGAGATCAGGAGGAAACCCACCACCAAGTGGCCGGTTCAATGTCAGATCTCATTGAAAGTGTCAGATCACATTGAAAGTGTCAGATCACACTGAAAGTGTCTGATCTCACTCATTTAGGCTAATTAGGAGATAATGAGATAAACTTCAATCATAAATGAATGTCTGCCTGACAAAGACCATCTGTGGTTGAAAGGGTTCTATTAACATATATTCTGAATATGTATGCTCTACATTAGCCTATATTTTAATTTTTTTCTATATTATGTTGCAACCTTTTGTTTAAATAATATGCCTACTAATTCCTCAAAGGTCTGTCTGTGGAAAGCATATCTTTTTACCTTATCAGCTTCACACTTGCATTGTGTATTCTTAGTAGCCCGAGGAAGTGCAGTGTCGAATTAAGTGCATTTAGGACAAATTTCTATATGAGAAAAGTTTTAATTAATAGATGACCAGTGCAATGTAGCAGTCAGGGGACAGGGCAGTGCCTTCATTCAGCAGACTGAGCTGAAAGCATCTTCTTCTTGGTTCTCACACAAACTATAGTTGTGAGGGAGTTTTTCCTCTCCACAGTCGCCAAAGTGCTTGCTCATTGTGGGAACTGTTGGGTTTCTCTATATTTTGATTTTAAGGTCTTGAATTTCTACGTAAAATGCCTTGAGATAATGTATATTATTTTTAAATTTTATTTATTGATATCTCAGGGCAGTAGCATTTATAGAATCATTTCCTATTTCCTCTTGACCAAATTGTCTACAAAGCATGGTGAAAGTATGTATATCTCCATTTGTGTATGTGTGAGGGGTGTACATGTCCAACTATGGGAAGCCTTTTCTTTTTCTTAATGGGACCCAATATAAAAAAATGTCAAAGCTGTTGCTATTCAAAGGGTTAAAATACTAAAATAATGAATATTTGCTGTTTATATAGCAAGAAAATTAAAAAAAAATCTCCCTTGCAACCCACATGGGGTGGTATGTCTTCTTTAATTTAGGTCCTCAACCAGAGACTGGTAGTTAGAGGGTGCTGCGCAGTATTATAGCTGTTCCTAGAACTGCACTCTTCTGGACAGATGCTTCAGATGTTGGAGCCACTTCCCCAGTTTAGGGGTCACAGCCCCTAATGCTCCTTGCCAAAGAGATCACTTTGGACTTCACTTTCCACATCAGATGTTCTTCTTGCAGCTCTTAGTACTTCTCAATCTTCTTGTGCTCCTTTTTCCTGATGTAACTGTCCACTGTGTGTGTGTTGGAGTTTACACACACACAGGCCCCAAGTCCCCACCCCCACTCACTCACACAGCGAAACACACAATGAGATAAAAACAGTGGCAATAAAATAAAGAGTTCCACAAAGCTCCACAGCTGCACAATGATCAGCCCTGCTGCTTCGTGATCAGGGCTGTGCTGGACTTTCCTGTGTCCTTCCTCTACACTCCCACTGACCTGCACTCACTATAATTTATAAAAACAAACACTCATCAAAAGTTATCACGACCGGATCAGGACATGAAGTGTTTGTTTGGTTTGCTTCAGTTAATAAGGCTGCATTTAAACATAGTGAAAAACTAGTACAAAACAAAGTGACGCAAACAGCCAGGACTCGGTGTTAAAGTGACTGGAGTGATGCGGATTCATGATCCGACACCATAGATAAAAACTAAATACATGATTGTATTTGTCATCTAAATCATAACCATCCCAATAATAAAAAAAAATAAAAATAACATGAACTAGTTCATTTTTGGAACTGTGAACTTAGTTCAAAATTTAAAAACATTTATTATGAATATGAACTAGTTCATCTTCATCTGTTAAATGATCAAAGCTGCAATTTGTGTTTACTCACGTTGTCTGTATGGTAAATGGTTTGTATTTATAAAGAGCTTTTCTAGTCTTGATGACCACTCAAGTGCTTAACAGTACAGTTTGCCATTCACCCATTTACACACACATTCATTCAGTGCATGAGGGGCCATTCAGGGATCAGCATCTTGCCCAAGGACACTTCGGCATGCAGATGGGGAAGACTGGCGATTGAACTGCTGACCTTCTGGTTGGAATGGCAACCGCTCTACCCCATTTATCTCATTTAAATTAGTTGGATGTTCTAAAAAACAGAAGAAAACATGTACTTCTTCAAAAATATTCTTTCAGGAACACACACCTGTACAAGAGCATGAAAGATCTTGAGTATCTGTTTTTGGATGAGGACAGAGAAGATGGTGGCATCTGACAGCAGTTGGCTGATGAGCAGCTGGATCCTCGGCAGAAAGATTTGCATAGCTGCGAGCAAAGGCTCCCTTTCATCAGCCTTTCTGTACCTGACAGAGAGAGGGAGACAGACACACACACAATTAATTGACCAAAAAGTATCTGTGTCAGTGGTCATGTACAAATCAATAAAGTGATGTGCTGAAAATGTGTAAGTTACTACCACCCTGTCGCACTGACGAAATCCCTCCCAATGGGTTCTTCCTTGGCCCATACCCCACCCTTCCTCTAGTCTCTCTCTCTCTCTCAATACAATGCATGCCCACAAGCATATATTAGGTGCTCTGTTGTTTCTACATTTACGTACATCTTGACAATACAAAGATATGTATGTTGCCTTAAATATCACTGTTGCAAGGAATTGTGGGATGAGATTATCACCCTCTCTTAAGGGGGTAAAAGGTCTAAAGGATGGTCTGTGTATCCTATGCTAAGCAGAACACCACTGCTTATACATGCTCTACTACAGAACTCTGTACTATCATCCATGCCAACTCACATGGCTGCGAACCAGGTTCTTGTCCACAAGACAATGCCCACACCATGTAAAAGTCTGGTCATAGGTGACTCCATAATCAGGAATGTCAAAAAAAATTCTGCAATAACTTGCTGTGTCCCTGGTGCCTCTGTCCATGAGGCTAAAGCCATCGAGATCCTGGCCAACGAACCAGACATTTGTAAGGTCATGTGGCCACGAACAATATCCGTAAAGGGCAGTCTGAAATTCTGAAAAATGACTTCTTACATCTGTTCAGTTCACAAAGATGATCAGTGGGGGACATTTACTGTATATATCTGGCCCAATCACCTCCAGTGGCCGCTGTGTTGGGTGCTTCAGCTGGCTCCTGTCTCTTTACACTTGGCTCTCATCAGCCTGCACTGATCACATTAATAACTTCAACCTCTTCTGGGAAGAGTTGTTATTTAAAGACGACTGTATTCATACAAATTGGTTGGGGGCAAAACTTTCTCTGTCATCCATTCTCGTGCCCTGCTAGGGTTAGGGTTAACAGACAGCCACAACCACAACACTCCGATGTTGTCCTCTCCCTCTGACCAGTCCCACCACTATTGACATCCCCAGGGTACTCGCACCAGCCTGATGGGTTCTCCATGCTACTGTTCCACTGCTCAGAGCCAGAACACAACACTTCTAATTACAGTCTGTTTTCTGCCCATTCTATTCCTGTTATTTATAAATCTCACTGTCTTCAAGGGCACAGAAGTCGACTTCAGTGTGTTCAATTTGTATTTATCCTCCCATGTCTGTTAATCTATTTCATCCAACCTTTGCCACCACTCAAGGGCAAGTAGTGCTTGGTTCTCAATAATTTAAATCATGTAATGGTCTTCGCCTATTACACCTTAACATCAGAAGCCTGCTCCCTAAATTGGACTATATCCATGTTTTGTTACATGAAAAGTCCCAAGACTTTCTCATTTTGTCTGAAACATGGCTTTCCCCTAAGATCCCTAATAATGATATTTCTGTATGTGGTTACAACTTGTTCAGGTGTGATTGAGTTAGCAAAGGAGGTTGAGTTTTGATTTATGCCTGTGTCACACAAACCAAAATCCCCAAGACATTTATAAAACATTTATCACATTTTTTCAATCTCTAATCTCACCATCGCACTGAAAATCTACAAGAAAAACACAGAATTATACACAGATGCAGTCCTTGGTTTTCCCCACAACTGTCCAATATCCACAATAGAGACAAAGCATGGACCAAGGCTGGATTCAGTGGCAACCCTCATGGCTGGTTAAAATTGTGACAACTCTAGAAACACTTGCAGTGTGAAAAAGGCTCAATCAATTTTTTATCAATCAGCTCTCTCAACCTCTGACAGTTCCCTTTTAAATAATAATAGCTAAAAGACAAAAATACTTTTTATTTACAGCGGGAGCAGGTCCTCTCTACGAAGGCTGCCATGTTTTTTTACAGGAGCCCAGACTGGACAAACTAAACCCTTTTTGAGTTTTTATGACAACTAAAGGCTGCCACAGGTTCTCGTTCATGTTTGGAAGGGGAGGATGAGGTGAGGGGTGTTCAGCTGCAACATGCAACTTAAACCTTAATTGTGTGACAATTCAGTGCTCAGAAAATCAACCAAAATCTCTTCAGCATCTCTCTATTGAATTGTTCGATACAATGTGCCATGTATTTTATAATTCCAAGGATTTGGTTTGACTGAGACAAAAGAAGCCTGATGTTTATCAGTTTTTCTCATCTAAAATGAATCATTTTTATATTTAAAATTATAAGAATTATAAGATAAGAATTATTGGACCATAAATACTGTAAATGCCATCCTTTAAAACTCATAGCCCTCATGTGATGGTGATGTCTTCCTGGAAAAGTACAGACCAGAGGTAGAAAAAAAACAGACAAACGCGATCAAATTACTCACTCATAGGTTTTGACCAGTTGGTAGAGAGCCAGCAGGCTGCCATACCAACTGCCACTGTTCAGAGATTGCAGGTTCATGCCGATCTTGTCCACAATGGCTGTCCAGCGGCCAGGGAAGTCATGCTTGATGATGGCTCGCAAACACATGGTCAGCTGGGCACTACAAAAACATTTGAAGTCATTAGGTATTTTTCAGTCTGTGTTCATCAGGAGAACTCTCTGTCTCTTCTGTAACATCTGTAGAACGTTTACAATGTTGGAACTCTAAGTGGAGAAGTTTTTGATTGAATTTAACATATGGAGCCAGTAAACAGGTTGTTAATGGGGCTTTTCTCAAGAAAAGAACAGTCTGATGGATTACAAAAAGTAAAACAATGCTGCTGGAATGAGAGATGGAAACAGACTTGAATTCTGGACGATAGCGTGGTGTGTGTGCGTACCGTATGGACTCTGGACAGTGGATGATGCCCTCCACTATGTGGTCTCTGATCTGCTGCCGGTCATTCTCGTGGATATTGAAGGGAAAGATGACTTCCCCCAGAGACGGCTCCCTGTCCTGCCAGTACTGACTCACCATGTTCTTCAGGTAGATGGCCGCTACACACAAAACACATAATTGATCTCATAAATGTCTTCTACCAACAGATATTGTGTTTTTACCACAACCTGATGTATTATCCCTCTGTATCATTGAGTTCCTCTGTTTCCAAAAGCTATCAAAACACATCAGTGGATAACACTGTAGCATGTTCCTTCATCACCATGAACACACAAGACGTTTTCAGACATGACCTGACAGTTGCCCGTGATATTAGCATTGGAGCAGAGACGGTAAAGACGGTGGTTTTCACGGAGAAGCTGCATGGGTGGATTCTCTCATGTGAAATGTGAGTTATTGACTTTCTGTTTTAGAGTAGAGTTGTTGCCTGACCTACCAAGTTTTTCCTAATTCCTTCTCGCATTGTTTAATTAACTAGAGGCATAAATGTTGCCAAAGAAAGGGGACTTCAGGGGTCAAAAGTAGAGGAGAGGACAGAGGACAGACAGGTGAAGTACTTGCACAGAACGGTTCTCCTATCCACTGTTCCATTTGGGGAATTTATATATAAATTCATATTAACTTACTCACTAGGCCAAGCAATTTATTTGTCATCTGCATCTACCATATTTATAAAGCTACTGTGGAAAGCTGTATGTTCAGTGACATATGGGGCATCATAGAGCGCGATCAATTTTCTGTGATTAATTAATAGAAATGACTGCATTATTTTAGAACCCTAATTATAATATAGAATATATATATATAATAAATATAATATACCCATGGTCAACAACAAGTTCATCAGTATGTTAGGTTAAAACAAATCATTACAAATGTTGGGGTATCACGTCAGACCTAAGATATGTTGTAGGGTGAGCGAGTGGAGTGTAAATTGAGGGCTGTGTAGGAGTGATTGGTCTCATTCAGGTAAGTCAAGTTGTATATAATATAATATAATCATATCAGATCATAATGTAATATCAAATTGTGGTAAAATGTTTTAGATCATTGTTTTAATATCACATATTGTGTCTGTTCATTTACAGGTTGACCTGACTCTTAGGCAAGCTCAGTGGACAGTTGAGGTCTTGGGAGGAGGACAGACTGACTGGTTTCAATGCTGGTGTCATCAAGGAGAAATAGTAGGCTTCCTATACAATGAGATGGCCATGCAAAAATTGCAGCTTCAGGGCATCAAGACCTTTACAGCTCTTAAAGCATTATCAATTAAATCCTCTACAAACTTGAATTTGTTCAATCCTGATCCCGCTGCAGCTGAGAAGCACCTGCTCAGAATAATAAAGTCCGTCAATACCCTGCTTGTATTTAGATTGTCCTTGTTCATTTAGATTAGATTTTTAGATTAGATTCAACTTTATTGTCATTGCACATGTCACAAGTACAAAGCAACAAAATGCAATTTAAAGGTTGGGGTGCTCTCTGGACACATGTGTCTAGAGATCATACTCAAATTGAACAGTTGAGGACAATTGGATGTCACCACACAAGCAGTATGGATGCATGTTTTGTTTTTTATTTTGTTTTATTACGTCTGAAGAATCAAACACCATTAACTTTAAGGATTTATTGGATCCATATGGATTTATTCTGCTCTAACAAAGTTTACCCCTGAGACTCTACAAGTCTTTTGTGGACTCAAAAAGCACCCCTCCATTGCTAAAGTGGTGAGTAGATAATGAGTGAATTTTAATTTCTGTTAAAGTGCTCATAGTATCATATCACCCCACTAGAGCACTGCACTCCCAGAATTCAGGCTAATTTGCCTTCGCTAAAGTTTCAAAAAGTACAGTAGGATGGCCAGAGCTTTTAGCTATCACGTTCCTCTCCTGTGGAATCATCTGCCAGTTTCAGTTTAGGAGGCAGATGTCTGGAGTAGGTTAAAACCTTCCTTTTTGATAAAGCTTATAGTTAGAGCTGGTTCAGGCTTGTTTTGGACCTGCTGTTAGTTATGCTACTATAGGTGTAGAATGTCAGGGGACACATGACACATGGAGCTTCTCTTTCCTCTTCTACCTCATTATCACATTAATATCTCATCAATACATATCACTGACTTGACTTCTTCCCTGGAGTCATGGTGCTTTTTTGCTTGCAGATCCAGGACCAGTTGCGGCCACATCACGGATCATGATGGTGAAAAGTGAATCAGAGATTGTGATGTAGGATCGTGATGGCATCAGAGATAGAAACTGATGGTGAATCCTGATTGTGGCAGTGGATCATGGCGATGGACTGTGGATTATGGTAAATGGTTTACACTACAGTATTCCATTCACCCATTCACACACACATTCATACAGTGCTTCTATAGCTAGCACTTTTTTTTTTTTTTTTTCTATTGGGCAGTTTTGGGGTTCAGTATCTTGCCCAAGGACACTTTGGCATGCAGATGGGAAGACTGGGGATTGAACTTCCGACCTTCTGGTTGGAGGACGACCGCTCTACCCCCTCAGCCACAGCCACCCAAATGGTGGCATTTGATTGTGGTGGTGGATCCTGATCGTGGACTATTATTTTCAACACTATTGCACTTCTGTCCATCCTGGAAGAAGGATCTCTCACACGTGGAACTCTCTGAGGTTTCTACATTTTTGCCCCTGTTGAAAGGGTTTTTAGGTAGTTTCTTCTTAATCTTGTTGATTGTTAAGGGCAGAGAATGTCACAACTTGTGAAGCACTATGAGACAAATTGTGATTTGTGAATATGAGCTATACAAACAAAATGTGATTGATCAATTGATCATACTGTACCTTGTTGATAAAGAGGAACTTTTGGAAGATTGCCTGGCACACTGCAAAATCAGCAATTTTCAACTCTTTTGAAGTGTCAAGTATATGGGTCCAAACACTACAGAGTGTACCGTAACCCTAATTAAGTGTAATTATTGACACTTTTTAAAATTAAAATGTAACACTTCTTCACTCTAACCAGAGTTAGTTTTTCTCTACACTTGTGTAGTGTTAGACATTAACTCTCTCATGGGATAATTTGTTAACTATACAAGTGTTACCCCCATTTTAAGTCTCATAAGTGTAAAGATAGTTCTTCTTAATTACTAAAAGTAATGGAAAAATAAAGTTTGCTGAAGTAAAGAGGCCATGTTCCCTTAAAACACATATACTGTATGTCCGTATAGATCAGAAGATGCACGTCTTCATACCGTAGAGTCCTGACATTTAGTTTTGTACATATCCCGACTTGTATTGAAAGAAATTAGGTATATAAACCAGCAGCTCCGCCATCAGTAGCAGAAACACATTGGTGTGAACAGACAACCGACTCGCAACCACAGCCTGTGAGTCCAGAAAGTAGGTTCCTCATTAACTTACTGAACAGAGTGAAGTTAAATCCACAGTTGAAAGCAGTTTTCACAAGTCAAGGATGCTCTCTGTCTCCAGTGGCAGAGCTGGGTGGTGGCCGTGGCCACCTCATGCTGAATCTTGGCCACCCTATTGCCCACCCCAGGCAACACGTCACAGTCATCAGTGGTTTCCCTAGCGTGGAACCTTCCTGCACTGGCACAAGCACACTGCCGGACACTTAAAGGTCCATTGTGTAAGATTATGTGAAAGGAAATAGAAATATTAACAAAATCAGAAACATCCTGTCTAAGCAGGATGCTGAAAAACTAGTCCACGCGTTTGTAACCTCTAGATTAGATTACTG